CACCTAGAGGGATATCTCCTATGGTAAAATGAAGCAAAACTAAGAAGTATTCACTGTTTAGCTTTTCAGTCAGCGTTTTCTGGTGTTAGTTGGAGGGGGTGCAGTTTAATTAATGGGAGAGAGTCTATGTGTGGTGTGGAATCCGCTCCCACTGCTCTTGACCTTCCTGTGGCCCTTCCTGGATACCAGGACCACTTGGGCCTCTATCTCTTTTAGAATCTGACTGAGATCTTGCTTTGGATGAGAAAATCCAAGTCATGCCCCCGATCCTGGGAAACAAACAAACAAACACAAAAACCTTTCCCCCTTTCCCCTGGGTTCCTTCCTGCTCTGCTGTACATGTCTGGAGAAAGGAAACCCCATGGTAGAGGGAGGAATTAAAAAAAAAAAAAAAAAAGTCCAGGATAGCGCAAGGGCCAGGGTCTGTCCCTGCACCATTTATGGCACTGGAGGCAGGCAGATCCCAAAAGCGACAGGGAAGAAGGGGCTGAGCCATGTGCTCTCAGTTCATCTTTCAAATTTACCAGTCTTCTAAGTTCCTCCTCCTCCCTAGCAAGGAGTGAATAAGGGGACAAGGAGGTGTCAGGAGCGTTACTCTAACCAAACTCCCTCCACGTGAAACAAACATTAAGAGTGGAATATAAGTGCATCCTTTAAACATTAACGTTTGGTAAATGTTAGCTTTTAAAAATTGGTATATTTTCCTTATAAAAGTTTAATTTGAAAGATTTTAGTAATAATGTTCTCAAAACATTTAGAATATTAATATTTTTTTCATAGCAGATCTTACCAAAATAAGTCTTTGAAATGAAGTGAGTTTCTCCCAGGGAAAATTTATAGGACTACACATTTCTTCATCTTCATTCAAAAGTTTAGCTACTTCATCTAATGCACGATTGAAAAAAAAAAGTTCAGCTACGTTTAATTTAGAGAAGGAAATTGAGATTAACAATCAAATACTTTGGATCACTAAAAGATAGCACAATGAATATTTTGTTATGAATTTGTGACTTTTTTTTTTAACATGGCTGACTTCTTTTAAAGTGAGCTTTGTTGTCATAGGATATGAGGCATCAGTAACTGTCCTTAGTACCTCACAAGAGGTAGACATTAAGGCAGATTTAAGTTTCAACTTGGTCCTGGTGAACCGATTGATGAACAGTGATATAATAACATGGTGGGCAGCTGAAAGAACAAAAAGAAGGGCATAGCCACCAACACTTTATCACCTGCTCCAGCGTATGTAATGTTTTTCTGATGAACACAAAATGAGTCAGTAGTAACTCCAGAGGTTAAAGATTTCTATTCATGATCCACAGGTATAGGAAATGGGAATCAAATGGAAATGCAAGGAGATTATCACGTTTTTGAAAAATTTAAGACTATAATTTTTTTATATTGCCCCCTCTTACCACTGCATTAGAGTCCTTCTGGCTCACACTCTCTCGCCAGGTGGAAATGGGGCTGCTTTTAGTCTTCACTTCCAATGATTCCAGATACAGTTATTATTTGCACCTACCTTATATTTCTATGATATTTTCCCAATGTATAACTCTAAACACAACTTAGATTACACAAACAGCCTGTTTGCACATAGCTAATTCAGGTTTCTTGAGTTAAAAAGAAAAAAAGAAAAACACTCATGATACATGAACATCTACAGTTACAAAATGGGTAAATTTGGAGTTACTTGCAAAATAAAAAGATGGGTCATTTCACTAAAATGGTCAATAAAGAGTTCCTTTACATAAAAGTTACTGGCTCCAATCTTACAATATAATAAGTAATGGATCCCAGATGGATTAGAGACCAATGCAACAAAATAAAACAATAATGACCTAGTGAGAAAAATCTAGTGGAGGAGACCTGCTTACTCAGAACTGGAAAACACGAAGTTATAAAAGAAAAAAAAAAAGACATAATCGACCATACAAACAAACATTTGTATGGTACAGATACTATGAACAAATCCACTGGACAGTTAATAGACTGGGAAAAATGTTTGAATGAAGAGGTTAATATCTATAATAAGACAAAAAAACCCAAACCCGTTGCCATCGAGTTGATTCTGACTCATAGCCACCCTGTGGGACAGAATAGAACTGCTCCATAGAGTTTCCAAGGAGCTGCTGGTAGATTCCAACTGCTGACCTTTTGGTTAGCAGCCAAGCTCTTAACCACTGTGCCACCAGGGCTCCATAAGAAGACAAGAGGTTAATTATCTATAACATTAATAGAACTCTTACAGACTGGCAAAAAGGGGATAAGCAACCCAACAGAAAAATAGGCCAAGTATATGAATAGGTAAACCCAAATGGTCAACAAACACTGAAAAGATACTTAACCTTGCTAAGAGTCAAGAAAATTCAAATTAAAGCACTTTAAAAGTTTCCAGATTGGTAAAAGTTAAAAAAATTAATACCCCTATTAGAAAGGAGGTGCTCTCTGTATTGCTGTGGAAACATAAATTATTGTAGACTAAAAAAAGAACAACCTGGCAGCAAGTATGAACATCAAACACAAGATACTTTTAACCCAGCGATTCTACTTCTGAAATCTATAGAATTAGAAATAAAAACAAATAGAATATGTATGTTTATGTTACTACATAACATAATTATTATGGCAAAAATATGGAAGAAAAATGAAGAAAAACGTGGAGGGAAACAAATTGGGCTGTATCTTGATGTGGGAGAAGTGGCAGGGAAAAGCAGAGGTTAAAGTTCAAACAGATAAACAAAAAGGAAATCTTAAACGTTGAAAGTTATTTAAAATAACATTGACTTCCTATGTAATTTTTTTTATTTAGTGATAGTATTAGTAGTATGACTGATTTTTACTTTACTATACCGTGTGTGTGTATATATATATATACACATGCATACACAGTATAATTATATGTATGTAATTTTATTTTGTTATAGGTCAAAGTTTACGTTGCAAATAGTTTCTCATTTAAAAATTTATACACAAATTGTTTTGTGACATTGGTTGCGATCCCCACAATGTGGCAGCACTCTCCCCCTTTCCACCCCAGGTTCCTCTGTGCATTCGTCCAGTTTTCCTGTCCCTTCCTGCCTTCATGTCTTTGCTTTTGGGCAAGTGTTGCCCATTTGATCTGGTATACTTGACTGAACTAAGAACCATATTTCTCACGTGTTGTATGTTTGTTTCATAGGCCTGTCTAATCTTTGGCTGAAAGTGGATTTTGGGAGTGGCTTCAGTTCTGAGTTAGCAGGGTGTCCAGTGGCCAGAGTCTCAGGGGTTTCTCCAGTCTGTCAGACCAGTAAGTCTGGTCTTTTCTTGTGAATTTGAATTTTGTTCTACATTTTTCTCCTGCTCTGTCCGGGACCCTCTCTTGTGATCCCTGTCAGAGCCATCGGTGGTGGTAGCTGGGCAACATCTAGTTCTTCTGGGTTCTATATAATTTTTAAAGTGCATAGGTGGTATATAAAATGAAGGATGTAAGTAGGCTTGTTCAGATTCAAAGTTCAAAACTAGCATGGTGTAATGGAACGAATGTGGTATATTTAATTTCTCTGAAACTAATTCCTCATCTTAAGATGGAGTTCTAAATTATCACTTCACAAGATTGTTGTGAGGATTACATTAAATAACATGCGAACATGTTAGGACACAGTTATGTTCCTTCCTTCAATCTTTTCATTATATAAGACATTGGACTACTTTATAGAACGAGAATCTACACGCGCACACACGCACACGCACACACGCAGGCACATAATTAAGTTAGAGTAAGACACTGAATATTTTCTTACTTTTCTCCAGTGAAGGCTTTGCTGCTTGGAAGGGTATGCTCATCAGAAAATCTACAGCCTTACTGTTGTTAAAAGCATCCCACTGTGATTTATTTGATAGGAGGGATTTACACAGGAGTGAAAACGGTTCCAGCTGACTGCTGACATATTGGCACTGCTTCCACCTGGATTCCGACAGCCACTGAAGATGCTGATTTTTACATCTTTCAAATATGCCTAATAGGAAAGGAAAATGATCACATTAAAAGAGAAATCTTTTTACCTTTTAGTTACTCATTACAAAGTAGATGCTCAATAAATATTTGTTGTTGAGAAAAAAGCCATTTTATACAAAAATGAATTATATAAAAGGTAATTTTAAAAGCAGCTTTAAGTCTTAAAAACAGTAGTATTTTATTAAAACTAGAATCCTGGTAAAAGCTAAGACCCTTTCTTTGTTGTTCATCAGAGTATTTACTGTTTATTACAAGAAAAAACTGGAAACAACTAAAGCGTCTAACTTAAGACAGTGGCGGAATAAATTTTGGTACATCCAAAATTGGAATGTTTTGCAGACATTAAATAAGGGAGTCTAAGGGTCGCTATGAGTCAGAATTGACTCAGTGACAATGGATTAAGTATATTTGTTGACAGAGAGAATTATTTATGATGTATTGTTAGTTAGAAAAATGTAGGAATAAGTGTGTACAACGAAGTCACTTTTTCTTTTAAAGAATGCTTGTGTGTATTTAGGAAAAATAATGGAAGGAAAATAACACAAAAACATTAATAGTGGTTATCTCTGGATGGTGAAATTACAAAAGACTTCTTTTCTTCTTTTTGCTTATCTGTAAATTCTCATAGTTTTAATAATAAACCATATTGCTTGTATAATAAAAAATACCAATGGAAGCTATTTAATTTTTTTGTTTGTTTAAGTTATTAAGCTATCGGTGTCTATTTTTTGCTAGCAAAAGAATACTAATAAATCCATAAAATAATTCATTCATTCAAAAGTACTTTGCCAAACATCCACTATGTACCAGGCTTTAGCACGAGCAAAGACAAACACAAAACAGAACAATCCACATGTGTGGTATCCTTCATAGCAACTCTTTTCATGCTTTCATTCTGACTGCTGGTCTTTGCTAATAGTCTCCAAACCCTTGACAAAGGTTCCTCCAAACCATGGGAGGGTCAGACCTCCTTTAAGTGTTATATTTTTTTGGAACTTAAAATGTACCACACAGGAGCATTTGGACAGATTAAAGAGTTGAGTCATTTTGTCTAATCTTTTTGGATAAGCATGATCTTTGTGGTTCAAATTTTCAAGGGATTTCCATCAGAAAGTAAGGGCAACTGCAGTTAGGAGGAGTAAAGTTGAACTCCCGGTGGTATCTAATCAATGTGTGTGTCCCTCTTTGACCACCATTAGGTATTTTTCTTTGTGAATTAGAATTACAGTAACTGTAGTACTTGCCATTTATTCATTCATTCATTAAAAAATTACAGAGTAGCAATTACGTGTTCAACAGTGTAGGGATTACAACAAGGAATTAGACATTGCAATTGACCTCAAGCTGCTCTGAGTCTAGTCAGTTAAAGACGCATTAACTTAGAGGGGCACTTTAGAAATATTTTATAGTATTTTACAGGACACAGGTTTTTAATGGCTTTTTACTAAACCCAGAGTAATTACTTTTACTTACTATTAATTTTAGGCTGGGGCATCACACCTTTAATATTTATCAACATGCCAGAATTTAAGAAGATATTCCATTCTTCATCTGATAAGGACCCAATGTCATTATACATTAGATTTTCACTAGCATTACTTTGCATGATTGCAGTGCAAAGCCGAAAGGAGAAGCAAAGTTTATGTTGATTAAATAGAGCTGAAGAAACCACCTACAGGGAAAAGGATAACTGTTAGACTAGCTCACTTAGATTAAATAAGTATGCAAAATTCACATTAAAAAAATCTCACCTTAAAAATATTTCCTGTCAACACCTCTATTGCATTTTTAATATGCTTGCTCAAGGAGTTTTTCTCACTTTCCAAGTCAGGTTTTTTTGAGAGATTTGTAACTTTATGAACTTTTTCCTCCTTTTTCAAACTCGAAGCTGATTTAAAGTGTTCTTGTTCTTTGCTTTTGGAAATTACCGATAAAACAAACACCCGACGAAACCAGTCCAGGGAAAACTGGTACATGTAGTTGACTCGTTTAAGTTCAGCTACGAGGAAGTAGAGCAGAGCACCTTGCGTAGCTATGGGAAGGTAGCTTTTACGCGTCGCTTGAATGTCACACTCTGCTTTTTCTGTTGCTTTGATGCGCTTTGAGATTTCACTTGAAGTCATTTTGGATTTTTTTAAGGTGGCTATGATATCTTCATCATCTAATATGCATCCTAAAGACAAACAAGAAGTGATTTTAAATAAAAATCATTGTAATACTAAGCGGCTGTTTCCTCATTCCGTATTCTTTACATGCAAGTTTTGGCTGTTGGCTTTTTGTTGGTTTTGTTTTGGAGAGGGGCTCTCACATGGAAACAGGTCATATTTCCACTAAATTTGATGAAAGGCACACACGCCTCACTTCCCACTCCCCCATCTCTTCTTTATACATATTCCTTCGGTGCTTGCGGACTCTAGTTTATTATAGGCACATAGTAAGTAACTGTCTCATTGTAAGGAATACATTTTACATTGCCACCCACTCTACACACAGAATACGAAAATAAAAGTTTCAGAAAATAGCACAGTGACACTTCGTATTTTATTTTATTAAACAAATAAAACTGATGATAACCAATGAAATTGATTTCTCAACCAGCTAATAGGTTGTAGTTCACCTTTTGAATAAAACACCGCTGTAGAAACGCAGATAATAATTCTCCTCCCTTCAAATATTAAAAGCAGCTCTCATATTTCCATGGTAAGTTTTCTATTTTATGAGATAAACATTTCCATTTTCTTCAACTGCTTTTTTATGATTTGATTTCTGGGCCCCTCAAGACCCTTGATGCTCACCTCTGGATACACTTTAGTTTGCAAAGAAACCAAAAAACCCATTGCCGTCAAGTCAATTCCAACTCATAGTGACCCTACAGGACAGAGTAGAACTGCCCCCATAGGGTTTCCAAGGAACAGCTGGTGGATTTGAACTGTTGACCTTTAGGTTAGCAGCCGAGCTCTTAACCACTGTGCCATCAGGGCTCTGGTTTACAAAGGGCCCTCTTCAAATGTGGCATCTAGAACTAAACACAGTATTTCAGCTTAATACGACCACTGCAGGCCATGAAGGGATTATTCTATTCCATGATCTGGATACTATGTTTTTATTGATACAGATGAAGTTTTCCAAGTAATATCTTCTACATTAGACCTCTTTTTCTTTTTTTTGGTAAACATGGCTGCAAAAACCGAGTTACTGACTTCATTTTTTCAATAGCAGGAAACACTCTAGGAAAATCTAATTTATTGAGTAATGTTTTGTTTCAGACTAGGTTCTTCTGTTCTTGGCTGCTATATTTTTTTCTACATCCTCCCTTGCCTAGTGAATATATATATTTTTAAATGCTGTGCTATACCTTTTATCTTGCTAATGCTGAATGTGGCCAACTCTGTCCTAACTTGGTTTGTTCTGATGTAGTTTCATTGATGCTCTGGACATTTTATCTTGAACCAGTTGTTCTGCCTTCACTTCCCTTAAGTTTCAGATCTGGTTGTTGGTTTCTATGTGCTTTTTTTGTACCTGAAGTCATGTAGATGGGAGAGGGGGAGATATATGTGGGATTCTTCCCTTTCTTTGAGATTCCATTAAATGTCTTAAATGAAGACTTGGGTCTGTTAATCGTTTATCCTCTGCCCTTGAGCTTTAGCAAGTTTCCCCAACTTAGTATAGAGGCCTGAAAGATGGTAGTTCTTTCCAACTCTGTTAAGATCCCTTGGTGGTTTTCCGTTATTATTCCAGGGCTTTCTACTCAATTCTTTGGTCTGCTTCTTTCCAAATTGTGGGATATTAATAAGAATGCTCAAAATTAAGAAAAAAATTTTTTAGTCTATTTTGCTCCTGGGGAGTCTTCATGCCCTCCTAAAACATTCCGCTTCTTCCCTTTTCTAAAATTTAAATAAAAAATAAAATTTGTTTATTGTTATTGCTAAATTCTTGCCTTTAAAATTTTTTTTAAAATTTATTTTACTAAAGTATCAGAGTCAAGGGAAAGTCTTTAAAGCAGAGGAAACAAACTAGTGGCCTGAGAGTCAAATCTGGCCTCAAGATATGTTTTGTTTATTCTACACAATTTAGAAAAATTTGAATTAGCTATGTGTAGGAATACTCCAAATAGAAGCGCCTGACTGGAGCAGGATAGCCAACCCCTGTTTGAATCAAACTCCATATTGTTAACTAGACTCCATTTTGAATCAGACTTCAGCTTGACTAAAGCCTCAGCCTCTGCATTCCCGATAATGTAGCCCGTTGACTTCCCTAAACTTTAAAGCTCTTAGAAAATAAAGGTGGGGGTGATAATGTGGCTGTTCCAGGAAAGGTCTGTTGATTATGATGTTGGTGGTCTCTGGCTGCATGCCCTCCCACCCCCCAGGTTTGCTGATGTTAAAGATTATGGTGTTGATGGCCTCTCCGTACTCACCCCATTTTACTGTTAGTCATGTGCTGTCCCACGTTTACCCTCCCCATCTTACCATATGAAGGCTCACCTTTCCCTTGGAAGATGCGAACACTTGGTGGATTCCCCTCTGTTCTGGGATTTCCCGGTTTGTGAATTGTATTGCCCTCAATAAATCTCTTTGTTTTTACTTTAACAGAAGTGAGCATTCTTATTCTACGACAGCCAAGAGCACTAATAAACTGGGCAACTTCACATGAAAGTCTGGAGTTTTAGCTTTTCTTGGAAAACAGAAAGATCTGGCAACATTGGGCTTGCATATCAGACCATCAGCCTTTTAGATTAGATATATAATAATTAGCAGTGAACTTCAGAGTTGTGTGGAGACTTTTAAAAATGAATACAAGCCAAAGCCCCACCTTTAGAAGCTCTGATTCGGTAAGTCTGTGGTGGAACCCACTGGGCATTTGTATTTAAAAAAAGAAAGAAAAAAACTCCCCAAGTGATTCTTAGACATATGCCCTTAATTGAAAACTAAAGCATTTGAGAAACCTGACGGCCCACAGGAGTCAAGAGTGAAAAAGAACTGCCACCCATTGTTAGATAAATAGTATTTTATCACAGTTGAGTTAGGGGCAGATGTATTAGTTTGCCTTGATAATTTATGTTTCTTTATATTTAATTGTTGTAAAGTCCATGTTTCTTAAACACTTCTTGTGGTGAGCAGGAAAATAGTTTCTACTGCTATTTTAATAAACAGCATATATTAATGGAAGACATAAGCCACTGGATTGTTCCCTGTCATAAGATCTTTCAGTTATTAATACTCGAGGACCACCTAATCTTTAGGTTTCTGTAATATAACTTGACATATATAACAAATGTCTGGTACCTGAAGCACAGGCATAAGGATTACAAGGGAATTAACCAGCTGCTATAACATTTGTCCTTCAATTTATACTGGCTATATGTTGGTGGTTATAGGGTCGCTATGAGTCGGAATCAACTCGATGGCAATGGGTATGGTATGGTATATGATGGCAAGGAGCCCTGGTGGCGTAGTTGTTAAGAGCTCCACTGCTAACCAAAAGGTCAGCAGTTCAAATCCACCAGTTGCTCCTTGGAAATCCTGTGGGGCCGTTCTACGCTGTCCTACAGGGTCACTGTGAGTTGGAACCGACTTGATGGCACCTAACAACAATATGATGGCAAATGTCCCATGACATAATGAGCTTAAGCAAAGATGGAAACTGAGGAACATAAAAATTTACAATGTTTTAATTTTAGAAATAATAAACCTCTGTTCACCTACATTAATTAGTCATCTGGTGGAAACGGCGATCTGGTATTATTGGTACCAATCCAGAATGTATCCTTAAAAACTTTTTATTCTGTCCTTTACAAAAATATGCAGAGCTCTCTTAGTATTATTCAATATCTTGACTTACCTTGTGTTTTCTGCAGTAAACTTAATGTTTTTTCCTCCAGTTCTTCAAGAGTTATAGCATCAAGGGAAATACTCTCCAACAGTTGGAAACGTTGATTTTCTAAATGAGGGACTTCATGCATTACCACAGTAGATAAGAGTTGATCTTGTAAACCTTGGAATGTTACCGTGAAGTTGATCATAGTAACAAAGTTATGAACTGATGGAAGAAAATGAGGGTTGGCTATTTCCGTAGATATGTATAACCTAAGACATGGGAAAGGCACCAGTTATTCAAAGAACGTACAGAGGAAAAAAGTAAAACTAATTTGTTTAATAATGGAAAATGTACTTTTCATGGAAGTAAACAACATTAATTTTTAATGTTATCCAGTCCTGTACACAAAGCAGGTTCTCAATTTATATTATGTGAATACATTTGCTATTTAAGACTTTAAAAAATACAACCATAAATTATGTTTACGTATACTTGGTCGAAGCATAAGGATGAAAAAAATGCTAAGTAGTAGGAGTTTTGACCTGCCAGTCGGTCATTGTAAATTCTGTGGTTTCTACTCCGAGTGAGTGAGAAGGAAGCCAATGGAGGGATTTGAGTAGAGGAGTGACATGATCTTATTTAACAGCACATCTCTAGCTGCTATCTTGAGAATAGCCTAGGGGCTGGGTGGGGAAGGATGGAAGCAGGAGACTGGTTAAAAGTGAGAGATAAGGTGGCTTGGAGCAGGGTAGTGACAGTGAGAGTGGTGAGGAGTGGTGAGATTCTAGGTCTTGTTGAATATACTCATTTAAAAAAAAAAGTTGCTGCCTAGTAGACTCTGACTCATAGCAACCCCATGGGTGTCAGAGTAGAACTGTGCTCCATAGTGTTTTCAGTGGCTGATGTTTCAGAAACAGATCTCCAAGCCTTTCTTCTGAGGTGCCTATGGGTGAACTCAAACCTTCAGTCTTTCCATTAAGAGTAAGCATGTTAACCGTTCACACCATCCAGGGACTCCTCAGTCCTCATGTTGTTGTTGTTAGCTGTCACCAAGTTGACTCCAACTCACGGAGAGCTTATGTACAACAGAACAAAACACTGTCTGGTCCTGCATCATCCTCACAATTGCTCACAGCTAGAGTCTATTGGTTCAACTATTGCTTCAGTCCATCTCACCAAGAGTCTCCCTCACCCTCCTTGGCTCTCTACTTCACCAAACATAATGTCTTCCTCTAGTCAAGATGGAAAATGTTCTGTTGTGATCCATAAGGTTTTCATTGGCTAATTTTTGGAAGAAAATCACCAGGCCTTTCTTCCTAGTCTGTCTTAGTCTGGAAGCTCTCTTAGTCTGAAAACTGTTCACCATGAGTGACCCTACTGGTATTTGAAATACTAGCATCGCTTCCAGCATCACAGCAACAGGTAAGCCGACACTGTATGACAGACTGTTAGTCCTCATAAAACCACCAAAAACCAGTTGCTGTTGAGTCAATTCTGAGTCATAGCAACTGTTTAGGACAGAGTAGAACTGCCCCACAGGGTTTCCAAGGAGTGCTTGGTGGATTTGAACTGCCAACCTTTTGGTTAGCAGTCAAACTCTTAACCACTACACCACCAGGGTTTCCTTAGTCCTCACAAACCAAAAAAAGAAAAAAGAAAAAACCCACCCAAACCCAAACCTGTTATTGTCAAGTCAATTCCGACTCATAGTCCCTACAGGACAGAGTAGAACTGCCCCATAGGGTTTCCAAGGAGCACCTGGTGGATTCAAACTGCTGACCTTTTGGTTAGCAGCTGCAGCTCTTAACCACCAAGCCACCAGGGTTTCCTTAGTCCTCATAGCAACCCCGTACAGCAGGGACTCTTCCTTACTCCCAAATAAGCTGCTAATATCACCTGGCCAGAAAGTGACAGAGTAAGGATCCATCACCAAGTCTGCCTTCTAACATGGTGATCTCCACCATCTCCTCAAACACACATATTTCAAACACGGGAACCAGGTTGTCAGTTTAGGAGAATGTAACTTCACTAGCATTTCTAGAGCTATTGCTTAATCAGTCATATTGTATCCAGTGACAGAAAACAATGGGTTAACACGGTGTTTTCCCAAGTGTATATTGTAGAACACTATTTTCTGGAGAGGGTCCAGTGACTAAAGCAGTTTTCAAGTCCTTTGGGAAAGAGCCCTGTTTAACTTTGTTTAACCCCGTGCTTTTAAAAACCACGAGATCCCTTTTTTACATGACACCGATTAAATTCCTGGAAATGAGGCTTTGAGGAACAGAGTTTGGAACATGTTTTATTAACAGAAGGAAGGAGGCTGGAAGAGAGAATTCAAAGGAGTAAGAACCTCATGAGAGCCTCCACAGCTGTGTCCAGGGGAACAGATACACTGGGAACAGACTTAAGAGTCAGGACCACTTTGGTAAAGAGTCGGTCTGTCAGAGTCCCTGTGAAAAATCACATGCAGCAGGCTAGGGACTGTTAAAATCATCTTCTAATTGCCCTTGCTGATTACCTGCTCACCCAGCAATCCTCTGATTATGAATGGACTTTCCCTTATCTCTTCTCACAGGTAGAGATGCACATGACCAGACAACTCAAATGTCTTGTTCCTTTGGGAATGATATCTTGGTGGTAATTAAATTTGGCTATAGAATAATACCATATTTTTACTCAAATAACTCGTATCTTCTACCTTTGTTTGCTGACCTTGCCCTACCCCTGGAGGTATTTTCATAAGCGCACTATGCCAATTTTTTTACAGCAACATTTAAAGAAAAATTGGCATAGCAGCGCTTATGAAAATACCTCACGGGGGAGGATGCAGTTGGCAAACAAAGTAGAAGGTGCGTGCTATTTGCGTAAAATACAGTACTTTGTGCAGTTGGCCGGTGGGAGTCAGTTTCCAGGCGGCCTGTTACTCCTGGGAACATGGATACAATGTTTTTATCTCCCTAGACAAAATCATATCTTTTTGCTCTAGATATCAAATATAGATTTTTTTTTTTTTTGTTTTTTAAGTAACAGAAGCTCCCCCAACCCTCTTCAATAAAATGTTAGGCAAACAGATTGAACATAGCTTCTCTGGATAAAGTGGGGTTAGGCTTCCTGGCTCAAGACTCTTCATGGAACTCATAACGTTACATGGGGCACGGTTCAAGAAATACTGTCTTGGAGTGACTTGATAAATAAAAACTCTGTTCTCAACTCTGTATACTGATGAATGTGATTGGCAACAAATTACGAAAAAGAACCTTCAAAAGGCAATCTCACTTCTTCCTGCAGGCAGAGTGTGGGTTACATTTGAGTCCAGGACTGAAATACTGGGCTTCCAACGTTGTCTTAAAAATATAGATATTTTACTCAATTTAAATGTAAAAGACATTACCTAAATTTGGAATTGTATTCGGTCTCAGAATCATCAATCCTTATGAAATATTGTCCTCTTTTCTTATAGATATCCTTTTTCAAAATCACCTTTAAACTTGGAGCTAATGTTTCAGGCAGATTCTGAAAAACCCAATAGACATAAAATTTAAAAATCACCATACAACAAATAAGGTGCAGTTGAAAAGACACAGCATGGTAAAAATTTAAATCTTATTACAAATCTGGACACCAGTGAAAGGCAGCTCTGAGAGATTTGGCAAGAAAACTCACTTTACTTATTTATTATTTTTGCCCTGACAAAGTTACCTGTCACTTAAAGTTCTTCTTCTTTATTCTGAGTGCATACAATGTATGTGTGAGCTGCATGGAATTAGGGAGTTAGGCCATATTGTCTAAATACCTGCAAGAGGACACTCCCTCCTGTCTTCATAGCATTTTCAATTTTTTTGGTGTAATTGCTGTCCTCGATGGAGAGCTCCTGCAGTCTGGACCCTTCCATCTGACGGATCCAGTTGTGTGCTTGCTTATGTGGGTCGATAAGCAGAGGCCACTGCCGGCCGTTCTTGATCAAGATGGCATTCTCTGCTGAATAGTTACCAAGAGGCAGCCCCTGATTATGCCATTGGCGGATCTGGAATGAAAACATTAGTACTTTCACTATTTCGTGAGCTTCTTCATAATGTTTAGTATCCTATTGGATATTTTAGGAAGTAAAATAAGTTCTAAAACATTAGTACTTTCACTATTTTATGAGCTTCTTCATAATGTTTAGCATCCTATTGGATATTTTAGGAAGTAAAATAAGTTCTAAAAGGACTAAGGAAGTCAACAATTTTAAAAGACTCTGAATATGGAATTTTTGGTAGGGTGAGTAATCTTTCACTAAATTACACTTTTCTGTTCATCACTCAGGACATTTAGAATGTCCATTACAACAAAGATGCTACGGGAGACAGAAAAGAAAAATAAGACAGAGGACCTGTTTACAAGGATCTTGAACTCTAATGGAAGGATAAGAGTAAGGCATACATGCATCATACATGCAATAATATAGAGTCATACAAATATAATAATAGCTACTCTGTTGAGCACCTTCCACCTGCCAAGCACTTACATACATTATCTGTTTAAATTACTATAACAACCCTCACGTCACAGATGGAGGAACTGAGGCTAAAAGACCTTAGGGTCTTGCTGTGATTATACTGTCAGAACAAGGGGGAGAGGTAGGGTTTGATATAGAAGCTGACTCCAACCCTGATAAGCTTTTCACTCCTTATATGGCCTCCCTTTGCCTGCTGCTTTTTCCTCGTGCCAGTGTCAGCAGGAAGACCCGTGGAGGTCAGAGAAGGAACAGGAGACCAAGGAGCATTCCAGCCAAAGGCAGCAGGAGCCTCTTCAGGAGAAGCCAAGGATATGCTGGATACCTTTTACTTTTAGAACAGAGGAAAAAGTTTAATGTTTAAGCCTAGGAGGAACTTCATGCTATTGAATTTTTCATAAAAGGAGATCTGAAAGACAATGATGAGCCTTGGAAAGCACAAATAATTCTGTTGGTTAGAGGGTAGACTGCATCTGAGTACAAAAAAGACAGGAGTCAGTGTGGTGAGAGAAATTAACTCCAAACCCAATAACACATCAGAGTTATTATTTTCAAATGCTAATCAATTTCCTGATCGACATGTTTTTCTTTGTTATCTTACCACCTAAATATATATCCTCAAGCACTACACTTTCACTTCTTTTTGAATTTTAGATAAATGGGCTCAAGCATAACAACGATCATCAGGATGGCAGAGGACCAGGCAGTGCTTCATTCTGTTGTACATGGGGTCGCTATGAGTCAGAACCGACTCAACAGCACCTAACAACAACAGATAAATGAAATCTTATAGCATAACCTCCTTTGTACCTGGCTTTATCCATGTTGCTCTGTAGCTGTATCCATTCATTCTCATTGCTGTAGAGTATTCCATTTTATTATAGCAAGATTTATTTATCCATTCTACTGTTGAGGACACTTAGATTGTTTTAAGTTTTTGGCTATTATGAATAACAATGAATATTTTTTTATACATGCTTATTGATTCACCTATGTATGTATTTTTGTTGGGTAAAAACCTAGGAGTGGAATATCATAGGATATATGTATTTTTAAAAATTAGTAGCTAATATCTAGAACACTTCATTGTGCTCATGAGGAACCTGTACACAGATCAAGAGGCAGTTGTTAGGAAAGAACAAGGGGATACTGCATGGTTTAAAGTCAGGAAAAGTGTGTGTCAGGATTGCATCCTTTCACCATACCTATTCAATCTGTATGCTGAGCAAATAATC